TGTGTGTGTGTGTGTGTGTGTGTTATCCACCTCTCGACAGATCTGCTTGTGCACTGATAGGATTACAATGATCAAGCCCAATTTAAGCCTCTGAAACAGTGCTCATCCTCTGACTTGTAAATATATAACATCAATATGATCACAGCTTATGTTTACAGTGGGATGAGAAAGATTAATCTCACTGTTTTGACCACTTGTTCGTCTCCAGTCTTCTATCTGCCCTATATGTTCAGATTAAGTCTACATGCACTGACCCAATTCCTTGGACAACCTCAGACTAACCGATACCTCAGGATAAATCATCCCTCATGCCGCCCCCCCACCACACACAGGAACCCTATCCCACATCTTACCCCCTTTTTAGTTTTTAGTCAAACTTGAAACCAGCTTAGCAAGCTGACTTTAGAAGTGCCAGATAAGTATTTGTCAACAGAACAGCTGGCACACAATGCCCTCTTGTAGCTTTATGCCACAGCATATGCCAGCCGCTCGTAGTGCGTGGTAATTTAGCTGGGGCTGGTTCTACGGGAACAGATGGGCTCAAGTATTGTTATTCTCTCTCCAGCTCCGGGCCCCTGGGGGGAATCACTAAATAAAATCAAAGCAGATGGACCTCTCTGGGCTAGGCTGTGTTTATGATAAACAGCCAGCGCAACCATTGTCCGTCTAACACCTTAACCCCACCCTCCAACACAAACTAACTGGTAACAGGATTACAGTAGTTGAACCTCGCCGGCTCTGACCCTGCGACTCTATTTCACCAAAACAGCAGCCAAAACCCAAACACACAGACGAAAGGAAGTACATCATGGCTTTACCCTCTTCTGTGGAGAGTTACAATAACTTCCACACATCACAACAAGTCCTTTTTTACCCACACTGACCTTAAACTGTTAAATTCTCTCAAAACAGAAATTCTTATTTAGGTGCAGATTTAGAAACATCTGACTTCCCTGTTCTTTCTCACTCACAGACAACATGTTGTCCTTTTTATAACCTTGCCAGGAGTTTTCTTCGCTGGGGTTCTCACATCTGTGTCGTGCACACAGGCCTTGGTGGCAGTATGGTCATAGTAAACACCATCCCATCAGGTAACATGGTGTCCCCCCCACCCACACCCCTCCTCCACCGTTGTTATACAGAACATGGGAATGCAGGTCAGTTCTCACTTAGCATTGAACTCCACATCTACTTTCATTCCCATGGGAAAAGACAGCAATAAACAAAGGAATCCTATCAGTGCGGAGGGACGGTAAATATTTAAGGCCATTCAGAAAACAGGAAAGCAGTGATTTCCGGCACTAAAGATGAAAAAGAGTCTGAGCTTGAACAGTTTTAAGCCAATCAGCCCTAACCCAATATACCACTTAGGTGTTGTTTTAACTCCATCATGATAACCGGTTTTATTTAGTGTCTTAAAGGTCACTTTCTGATGAAGTCAAAGGAGTGTAATCAAGCTAAATATTTATAGCCACAAGTATCAACTCTGCACTTACTCAGTCACTGGAAACTATTGCAATGTTTTTGCATTTTCTGTAGGCCTCAGCAGATTTTTCATCATTATCCTGATTGTTTTTGTTTAAATCCACACTCATTTAGCTGCTCTATCTATTCATCAGGAGACAACCTCTGACGTTTCTCTATTGTCTTTGTTGTCTCTTGCTCTTTGAAAAATTCTATAGGTTGATCATCTACAGGTTTTATCAGCTCTAAAACAGCCTTTACAGAAATACCATTGTAT